TAAAAGCTTTTATGATAGTAAAAGTAGGATTGAAATTTGGTTTAAAAACCTTTATACATAGATCACCTTTTTTTTAAAGTAGTTTTCAGTTTCTAATAAAGGAAAGGAGCTTGCTTTTTTTATTTATAGATTGATATCTACAAAAAATTGTAACTTTAAGCTCCTAAAAATTGTCAACAAAACCAAACTATAAATGCTTCAAATGAATGGTCTTAATGCCCTGTAAGAGTTGAAAATTATTTTATTTTACGTTTTGAAAACTCTTTTTAAAAAAAAAAAAAAGAAAATTGAGGCTTTTTTTATTGCAAAAGCAACAACCATCATTCAAAAATGGAGTTTGCAGCTTTTGGTTCATCAAGATAAAAAAAAAAAGATCAAAAACTCTTTTAAAAGACTATTTTTAGTTAATCTTAAAAAAAAAAAAAGAACTTATTTCTTAGCAATATTAGGTATCTAACATCCATTTTTGAATATAAACATGAAAAACTTTAAGGTTGCCTTTCTACTATAAATGTTATATGGGAAGGATGACGTGATCATATGCATGAAAACAAGCTAGAAAAAAATGAGCTACCTTTTCCTATAAACTTTCCCAAAAGTTGTAATTTTCTTTCCTTTTGGCCAAGCTCCTAACTTCTTTTTTTTTTTAAAGCTCTTTCTCTTATGTGTTGTTTTTTTACTAAACCTCTCTTTTTTTTTCTTGTTTTTAACCTTTTCTTTTTCAGCTTTCTCCCTTTTTCTTTTTTTTGACTGCCAGCAAAATCATCTATATTTTTTTGTTAGCCCTTTTTTTATCACCTTTTTTTTTTTTTGCTAAAGACTCTCTCTCCCTTTTGCAAAGATCCCCTATTTTTTTTCTATCAGTTCATGCATCCTTCATGTGAAAATCGAATGGGTTTTCAAAATCATTAGCTTTATTCCTTTTGTTTTTACCTACTCAAAATCTCCTCTTTGAACCGAATGGGCCTTTTAAAAATTAATGAGCCCTTTTTTTTTTCTTGTTTTTTTGTTGTTTTGGGCTTCATCACTAAAGGATAAGTTTTGGGCTGTTTAAAAAAAAAAAAAACTTTAGGTCTTTGTTTGGGCCAAAGAATATGTTACATTATGGATCATGGAATGGGCTACATTATAGGCCATGTTTGGACTTGCTAAATGGGCCAACCATATTTGGTTTGTAATTGGGTCACATAATGGGTCATGTATTGAGTTTTTAAAGGGCCATGTTGTGAAGTCCAAAAAAAAGAAATGATATTTACCCATGTTAGGCCCTTAAATCTTATAGCCCAAAGTTGAATTAAATCAGATTTCAGTTTACAAAAAAATGAGCTCAAATTTTAATAGGAAATGAAAACACTTAAATTCATTAAAATGATTCATCTTAATCTATTACAATTAAGCACGATCAAATTGCTTCGAACAAAATTATATGTCTACAATAATATGTTTTATTAGCTTATATGAATTAACTTAGCTTTTTATCATCTATCAATTTATTAGCTTTTTTTTTGTAATACTATCTATATTTGAAAATTTCTATAATATTTTAAAAAATTATATTTTTATATAGCATTTCATATGAACGTATTTATTTTAGATAGATTATATATTTTGAAAAAAAAATTTGTAAAAAGTACAAATGTTGTTTAAAATAAAAAAAATGACTATTTCTATATATTTTTTCAATTTTTTTTATTCTTATATTAAAATTTATTAATTATACTATAATCAAATTTTTTATATAATTATTTTTGTGCATTGCACGAACTAGAAATTAGCATATTGTAATTTTATGTTCTAAGAAAAGCATGTGGTTGGTAGCTCAAGTGGGTATGGTCAATCACTAAAGTCTAACCTTCTATTTTTTCATACTAATGAAGCTTATATGTTTTAGATAAAAGTTAAGAGAAAAAAAAGTAAAGAGCAGCACATAAACTAATAGCTTAGTGTTCGGTCATTTTTTTTATTCTTTGTGAAAGTTTTTTCTATCTTGTTCATGTGGATTAATATTAGAGATTGGACACGTGAACAACCACTGATTTGTAATTTAGATAAAACTTGATAGAAAAGAAAGAAAAGAGAAACACATAAACTACTAACTTAATGTTTGATCATTTTTCTCATTCTTTGTGAAAGCTTTTTCTATCTTGTTCATATGGATTAATATTAAAGACTGGACACATGAACAACTATTGATTTGCAATAATCAAAGTTTATTGATTCTTTGAGATTAGGCTTGCCATGTACAACTATTTAATTAGATATGAAAATTTGCTTCTATTTGTGATTGTTGATCATCTTACCAAGGTAATTATAGAGTTTACGAGTGCAAAAAATTTTAAAATTTCATTACTTATACATGATGTTTTCTCAATCAATTCTAATATAGTATTGAAAGGAACAATGAATTACGTTAAAAATCAATTAAAACTTTAAGGGAAAAATGGGTTATTTTGATCCGACTGTCATGCATTTAGGTCATCATACTATAATTTTGATGGCACCACTTGAAAACATTCTACCTTTTCCATTATTAGACTAACATTAAGATCATAAATTGAACATCAAATTTCTTTAAAAATAAATGTGTGTTTCAAATAATTAAGTCAATAAGCAATTCTAATTCTAAAAAAAAAAAAAGCACACACTTTTTCTTCATGCAAAAGTAAATTTATAACCCGCATACATGAAAGATATAGTTTGATACTAATTTATAAAGTAAATGAATAATTTTTTTGAGATAATAATGTAAAGTTTTAAATTTAGTCAGAAAGATTTAAATCTTAGGTCCATCATACTACAAAAAATTCATATTTACCAAATAAAAATTTTGAAGTAATTTATATAAATGTTACAAAATATTTATATTTTTTTCTTAACATAAATGATGTTATGTTGCAATAGTTTGTACAAGTAATATTGCAAAATTGTTACTAATGTTTTCTACAATATTACTAATTTGCAAAACCTTATAGTAATATGTAAAATATTTTTTTATAACATAAAAGGTCATATGTTGCAATAGGTGTGTTAAATTACTTTTTGCAGCAAAAGTAAGCATTGAAGATAGTTTTTTAACAAGTTAATTATATTTTTGTAGTTAAATTTTGAAAAAATGTATAAATTGGTATATACCTAAAAAATTATTAACATGCATTTGATAAATATTATCAAATTATGTATTCACTACATATATTATCAATATTTTTCAATAAAAAAGATTTAAATATTTTTTTTTACATGAACAGTAAAAATTATAACATGTACCAAAAGTGTAATTAACTGTTTTGTAATATGATAATTTGTAATACCTTACAGGATTATATAAAACTTTGGTTACTAATTATCAAAATTCTTATATTATATTTTTGTCATTTTAATCAACCCTATGTAATATCACAAATCAATTTTGAAAAATAAAAATTTTTTTTTTTTATGAAAGAGAAAAGAAATGAGATTACATCTCTGATGTAAATCTTATACAATTTTATTGCAAATGTGTAATTTAGACTAAAAAGTAAAAACAATACATTTTAAGGAGGATAAATGAGAATTAATCTTCTCTTTATTACAAAAAAAAAGAAAAAGAATTCTTTGGATGATAATTACTCAATGTTTGAGCAGTTGCTCATAAATCTTCCCAGTTTCTATAATGGCCTTTGTGAAAGCAATTTTTCCAACATTTTTTGAAGCATGCTATTTTGATCGGCTCTGGGTACTAATCACATTTGGGCACGCAACATTATAGCATTTTTGCTTATGTATTTTTAAAAGATAACATTTATAAATAGAAATTACAACTATAATAAAATAATACTCAATATATTATAACATGACTATTACATTCAAGATAAAAATATCAGTAAACAACTTAACAAACCAATATAAAAATTAAATTTACACATTATGGACTCAAACTTATGATTTTAAAATTCAAAGACTTTCTCTTTAATATTGAATAAAGCCTCGTTATCTTAAGTACAAATGAACAAATAAGACTAGTGGCAAAAAGTTACAGATCATAGCAACGAGTTCACTTTGAAGAAACCATATCTTCTACATCTATATTGAAATCCTTTAGACTATTACTGCATATTATAGCCACGAGACTTGGCAAATAGATGTCAAAACAACATACTTTAATGAAAATTTAGAAGAGAATGTGTACATAACATGACCTGAAAGTTTTAGATCCAAACAAAATTCTAAGATAAATAAGTTACAAAAGTCTGTATTTAAACTTAGGCAAACATCAAGGAGTTTCTTTTTGCCAAGAAACTTCAAAGAGTTAGAACATCTATTTTTAGGAAAAAAATAAAAGAAGGAGTTTGATTTCATCAAGAACAATGATGAACTTTGCTCTCTAGTTTAGCTTTGTATTTCAAGAACTAATTAGGTTAATTATCCCTTTTGTTCTTTAATAATCAATTAAGCCTTGTATTGTTATAATAGATACTTCTTCTTTTGATATAAAAATGTGTATAGAAAATTAAAATGAAAGCATTGAAGCATCTTAATTTTCATCTTATGCTAAATTAGTTATTAGTTCAAGCAAATCTTATATATTATCAAATAAAATAAATTATGATTTAATACCTTATTCAATTCTAATAAACATTTTTTTCAAACAATTATTTAATTGGGAGGCTTCACAATCCCTTTTACCCTCATGAAAAACTATTTTTTATTAGTTATGATAAATTTTAACTTGTCAACAATCACTTGAACTTTTTAACCCCTTTATTTTTGCCTATTTGCCTTATATATTGAATTAATAAGTTTATTTCAATTTTCAAACTATCAAATTGAAAAATAATAAAAAACAAGATATAAAAAAAATAAAATCTTTATTGTTTTCCACTTTAAGAAAACTGAAATTTTTATATTTAACTACTCAAAGATTTGCATATATATGGGATACTCATTCAATAACCACAAATTTTATTAATATGCTAATAGAGTTTACAAACTCTCATCAACTCTTCTTATTCTTTTGGCAAGCTTCAAACAGGTGGAACAACAAAACCTAAAACAATTATAAAAACACAATAGATTAGTTGAAAATAATTATTAATCTAAAAAAAAAACCAAATTAAAAACAAAATCATGAAAATTTTGGAATAATGTAATGAAAAACCTTACTTCCACATTTCATTCCAGGCGTAAGAGTTAGGCCACAGGATCGAGCTACAAACATCACCTTCTCTACACTAACAATCTCCTCTACCTTAGGAGTAACATACTTGCAAATGCATGGAATATCAAGATGTGTTACAACATTACAGCAACTTTGGGATGGAGGTTCTTCTGGCCCTGATTTTTGAACATATTTGGAGCATTGGGATATCAAGCTAGGAATACTAGTTTCACACTGAGCTGACACCCTATGATCTCTGAAAACAAGGGTTCCGACAATCATCAAGATTGCCATGGTCAAGAAACGAAAACTTGTTGTTGCTGAGGCCATTTTGCTATTTCTTTTTCCTTTAAAATTATATTGCCTTGGTGATGGTCTGGTCAGGTTTGATTTATATTGAGAGAAAAACTTTGATAAGTTATTGGTTGCATAACATATATGATTAATTTTAGGTATTGACAACACAGAATTGATTAGCATTTATGTCATTTTAGGTAATGACAACACAGAATTGATTAGCATATATGTCCAACAAAGGTTTCTTCTTTTGGACAAAATAATTTTTACTTGGTCATAAATGAGTGGTCACTTAAACTTTTCTTAGGTGGGGCAATAATTTTTCGTATTTGATATTTGGACTATGCTGATTCTTTCAATTACGTTTTGATTATTAAATGACAAATTTGAATAATTTGAGTCATTTATTTCCCAATTCTTAAATTAATCAAGGTAAAATTTTCTTGACCAAATTGGTTGAGTAACCTTCATTCCATTATTAATGCCCCCAAAGACAATAAAATAGAGTTTAAAACATTGCAAACATAACATGTGAAGTGTGAACATCTATCTGGTCATGACAAAAGCATTAGCTATCGAAGTTACAAACCTTGGACATTAAGTTTGGATGTTTCCATTTTTTTTACTGTAATTTTATAAATATGAATTTCATATAAAATTTTAATTGATCTCACATAATTTTAAATTATGATTGATTAATTATAGTACAATGATTGTAAGAGACATACTTTCATCATGTAAAATTTATATGTATCCCATACAATTTTAAATTGTAATTAGTTAATTGTAATACAATAATTGCATGTGAGCGAGAGCATATCATTTATGTATAAAAATTATACTAAATTAATTATCAATTAGAATTTAAAGTCATGTAGTGTCTACTAAAATAATGTAGGGTTTACACTTATAAATGATGGATCTTTACAATATTCTTCATTGTAATTAAACATTTATAAGATTATAATAAAAAATATAAATTATGCAATTATGGTTTCTATGAGATTTCTTATAATTTGGATACACAATTTTGGGGTCAATCTATTAGGAATAGGTTTACATAGTTTATAGCCATGGTTAAGTTGATTGTCGCTTACATTAATGCATTTGGCTTAATATATTAGGTGCATGAAATTTATATATTCAAAGAGTTAAGTTCAATCTCCATTACCAAACAATCATATACCAATTCCCCTTTAAAACTAATTAAGCAAAATATTAACTTTTAATTTTATAAAAGTTTCATAAAGATACTATTATATATTTGGAGTAAAATGCACAAATCATGTGTGATCTTTTGTGTAATACTAATTCATATATGACATGGATGTCCATATAGCATAATGGTTTTCCAATTGATTGTCAACTGTGCTCAATTTTGGATAATTGAAATATTATTATTTAATTTATAAGAGAGATTTAGGTCATGTTTGGTACACAAAATTATAATAAGATAAGATAAAATAATATTATAAATAGGATTGATTAAATAATATCATTCTATCTTATATTTGATATGTGCAAGAATTAGGATATGATAATTATTTTATTGTTTAAAATTATCATTTTTCAAAGTTCATATAATTTAAATTATTGATGTAATTTTTAAGGATATAACAGGACATATAAGTTCAATCCCATGGATTAAAAATAATTCTCTCCACTTTGAAAGGATTGAATCATCTTATATCAAGAGGATGATAATCTTCTTTGTAATCTTATTTTTTTCTTTAAATACAAATCAAACATAATATAAGATAATTATCATTATCTCTTCTCTATTATCCTATGTACCAACCATAATTTTAGGAGATTAAATAAAAGGTAAACTATGCATTTAGTTGTTAAAGTATACGTGATTTTTTTATTTTTGACAATTTCACAATTTTTTATTTTGATCACCTAATTATGAAAACTCAAGATTTGATCATCATTTTAGAATTTTGATTTTTTTGTTTCTCCATCTTATATAAATATATAAAAGTTAAAACTTTTAATAAAAAAGAAAATAGTCCATGTGGATAATTTACATTTTTTACATGTGGATAAGTTTAAAAAATCACCATGTATTCTCTAATAAATGCATTTTATTTATTTAAAATATTTTATTACTTTTTATAGTAATATTACTTAAAAAATTAATTAGTTAGGCTAAATTAATTACATTTATTATTACTCATAAATATATTTCCATATATTCTAATTACTCATGAAAAATTAAATAAAATTTATTGTAGTAAACAAGGAAAGAAAAAATAGGCATTTAATAGGTTGGCAATAATGATATCATTAAATTAGGAAAAATTTTGTTTTCTTTTTCAAAATACAAATTATGCAAGAATTAAAATTTTTTAATTTTTAAGGAAAAATCACATTAATTACATTTTTTTATTACTTATTACATTATATAGTTAATAATAGTAGCTTTTTATTACATTTACAATAATGCCTCTTAATGGCAATATAAATACAAATGTTTTTTCAAAAAGAATTTTAAATAAATCAAATTTGACTATTCTTCAAATTTGTTTTACTATAATTTTACCTCTATTATTTTATAAGAAATTTATTTTGTAATATTGCTTGCTATTCTTTTGTAAGTTTATTCAGATTTTATTCATTTTTTTATTTGTGTAATTGTTTGATATTATTTTTAGAATAGCAATTTTATCAATTATATATTTTAGTATAATTTTTTCTTGTATAATTTATGACATATATGTTGAATATGATGTTGCTAGAGAATTCTTTTCTTTTATGAGGTATTAGTTAGCAGAGGCTTAACAACTTTGCTTTATTTTAGGTGTTTACTCAGTAAGATTATGTTGATTTGTAAGGCTTTATAATCAAATGCTAAGGACAATTGATTAATTCGGATGCTACCATACTTGGTAACTATGCATTGGTTGAAAATCAAATCATAAGAATTCTCAAATATTGGATTATAAGCCAAGTTTACCTAACATGATATAGTTAATTATGACCTCACTAAATATGTCATAGTTTCAATTGAAAATGGAAATTTTATTTTCTAAGTTTCTAGTGAATGAAACTTTAGCTAAATGCTTAAATCAGGGTCAAACATTAGAGTGGTTGCTCAATTCAAGATCAAAACGTTTTAATTCATACAAATAAAGATCAAACATTATCGACTTGAAAAATGTATGATTTATTTTAATAGTAAAAGAAATGTGCATCCTACGCGCCATTATAACACATAAAAAGAATAGGAAACAACTGATTAGGCAAAATCATGCTAATTTGGATTTTTTTATTACAATTATGAAAAAAAAAAGAAATGAAAAGATTTTTAGGAAAAAAATTTGCATTTAACCCAAATAAAAAAAAAAAACTAAAAATTCCCAAACCAAGAGCATAAGGGTGTAAGCTAACAGAGCTTTCGATGAATCGTTCATGAACACGTTTGATTTTTGTTCATTTATGTTCTTTTATTAAGCTTAACAAATGATCTTAAACACCATTTGTATATTCATTTATTAAACGAACCAAACACGAACAACTGTTTATTCGTTCATTTACATTTACGAACAAACTTGTTTAAGCTCATTTCAAATTTAACCTAACTAAAAATTTATGAAATAGCCGTTATCCTTTTAAAAAGCATGTTTGAAAATGAATGCAAGTCAGTTGTAGGTTTTTGCTGGTAAAAAATTTGGTTTATATATGACGTTTGATGTAAAAAATGTCTTCAATAATCTCTTACAAAAAATTAAATGGGATTATTAAAGGCATCTTTGACCAAAAACACATTGAATAATCCCTTTCAATTTTTATAAAAGGATTATTCAAGGTGTTTTTGGAGGGGTTATAAAGGTGTTTCTAGCAAAAAATATCTTAAATAATTTTTTTCAATTTTTATTGAAGACGTTTCTGATAAAAACACCTTGAAAAGTCTCAATCCCCAAAAAATTTGGAGGAGATTGTTGAAGATGTTTTCTAGCAAAAAAACATATTAAATAATCCCCTAAAAAAATGCGAGAGGATTATTCAAGGCGTTTTTAGCCAAAAAGACCTTGAATAATCCCTTCTAATTTTTATGAAGGTATTATTCATGGTGTTTTTGGCCCAAATACCTTGAATAATCACCTCTCATTTTTTGGAGGATTATTCAAAACGTTTTTGGCTAAAAAACGCATCAAATAGTCCCTTAAAAAATTTGAATAGGGTTATTCAATGCATTTTCTTAAATAATCCCCTTCAATTTTTTTGGGGATTATTCAAGGCGTTTTTGTTTAAAAAACATCCTGAATAACCCTATTTAATTTTTTATAAAGGATTATTTGAGGCATTTTTTAGCTAAAAACGTCTTGAATAATCCTCAAAAAAATGAGAGGCTAAAAACGTCTTGAATAATCCCCTCATAAAAATTGAAAGGGATTATTCAAGATATTTTTTACTAGAAATATCTTGAATAACCCTATTTAATTTTTTGTAAAAAATTATTCAAGGTATTTTTTACCAGAAAATGCTTTGAATAACCTATTTAATTTTTTTAAAAGATTATTCAAGGTGTTTTCTAGCAAAAAATATCTTGAATAATCCCTTACAAAAAATTGAATGGAGTTATTCAAGGCATTTTTGGTAAAAAACGCATTGAATAACTCCATTCGATTTTTTGTAAGGGATTATTCAAGACATTTTCTAGACAAAAACGTCTTGAATAATCTCCTCATAAAAATTAAAGGGGATTATTCAATGTGTTTTTTGTCAGAAATGCCTTGAATAACCCCATTAAATTTTTTATAAGAGATTATTTAAGACATTTTTAGTTAGAAAATACCTTGAATAACCTCTTTTAATATTTTGTAAAAGATTATTCAAGGCATTTTTCGGCCAAATGCCTTGAATAATCAACATTTTTATTTTTAAACCCTATTTTAGGTTAACCAACATATTTTATTTGTAGAGTTCAATCATTTGAGCTCTAAAATTTTGGAAGGTTAGTACTTTTTTTTGTTAAATTTGTGTAAGGTGAATAAAATGAATGCATATTTTGAGTTCTGTTGTTTTCTCATAATTAGTCATTTTGTGGTTAAAGGTTTTTTTGTTGTTCTTCAAAGTTAGGCATATTCTGGTTTAGGATGTTCTGTAATTCTTCATTCTTAGGCATTTTTTATTTATGTTAGTGGTTCTTCATTCTCTTTCAAAGTCTCATTTTACAAGATAACTAGCTAAAATTAACTTATAATTGTTTATATCATAAGACCTTCATCTAAAAACCCTGTAATTTTAATATTTAGAAAAATAAATTCAAAGAAAATCAAGAACATGAGAAAAACCCAAAATATATACCAACCTTGAATTTACATTGTTAAATGAACTAATATTTGAAAAAGACATAGTGTTCAAATGTTATTTCAACAGAAAAATTTTCTCAATTTATGATGAAAATGAGAAAAAACGAGGAGAAAACCCTAAGCTCAAGCTGTCTCATAGATAAAAACGATAAAGGAAAAAGCAAAATAAACAAAAAAAACTTAAAAAAAACCCATAATAAGCTAACGCTGTCATTACACATGGATAAATTAATTCCACATCATATTCCATGTCATATTTTATCTGTGATGGCTTTTACACACGGGTTATTTAATGGTGCATAAGATGCACATTCTTTTTACCGTTGAAATAAATGCTACATTGTTACAAGTCAATAATATTTGATCCTTACTTGTACAAATTAAAACGTTTGATCCTAAATTGAGCAACCACCCAAACATTTGATCCTGATTTGAGCATTTAGCCATGAAACTTTAGATGATGTAACGGATGTTAGTTTGTAATTTTTACTAATCTTATAACAATGGAACAAATTTCTTAATTTTGTGAAATTTACCACTTATTTTATTTAACAAGTCCTAAAATTTTAGAAATACTTAAACTACAATTGAAATTCTTATACTCAATTTTACATATTCGTCTATATTTTCTTTTTAGATAGACATTCTTAATTCAATTTTCTTTTTAAATAAGTAGGCATTTCAATATACCATATTGATATGCCACTAATTCATAACAAAAACACACACACACATACAATATTGAAATAAAAATGCCAATAGATTGATTTTAATGTAAGTTCAACTCCTTTAGAATATAAGATATATATATATATATATATATTAATAATACTCATCCATCCATTTGAAAAAAACATACGTACAATTCCATTTGAAAATTTAATATATTAATATTACAAAAAAAATCCTACAATTAATAAAAAGTTTTATTTTCATATTGATCTTTTTTAACATGTAACTTTATCTAATTAATTATTTTTATGTTCGCTTAAAATTAGCTAAATATATATAGTATTTGATTTAAATTGGCAATTATATTTTAGATATTCAATGCAGATTTATGATCTTGAAAGAAGTGGAGAGTTTTTAATTGTTACAAGAAAAATTAGAATTGTTAATTTTATCCATTCCTTCAAGAAAGCAAATTATATTACTAATTCTTTAATAAAAATGGGAGTGAAAAAAACATAATTATTTTTTGCCTATTGGTAGTAGACTCCAAAGAGATTAGATTGTGTGTATTATTATGTGTTATTACAATTATTTTTGCTTTGTTTATGCATTAAAACCTTATCTGGTGAGATTCTTAAGTTCTGTAATCCTTTGGTTTTATAAATGAAATTATTTTTTTAATTTTAAAAAAAATCTATATCACACTTTTTTATTTTATACTTTTATAACTCAATTTTTAATGATCAAATCATGGTTATCAATTAAATTGTAAATGGTAAAAAGATTTTTTAGGGTGACTTAATTTTTTTTGTCAATCATTATCCTTATATTAGTAATCATGAAAATAAATTTTAAATTGTTCTCTAAAATTGTAATTATATTAAATTTTAAAATAGTATTATATTACAAAAATTATTTTAAGTACACTTACCCCATACATAGCACAAATATAAAACTTTAAATTTTTTAAAAAGTAATATTTGACAATTAATTTTTTGAATTGAAAAAAAAAAAAACAATTTGCTTTACCCTAATTTTTGAAATTACATCATATTCTTAAAAATTCGATAAAAATCAAAACTTAACTTTTCAATATTGCAAAAAAAAATGAGTATGTTAAATCTAATCATATATTTTTATGGTAATATATACCCTCCAATATTCTAATCATACAATTCTTTTAACGTTAATAATGTTTTATATAATGAAAATTATAATCGTTTGCTTTATCTGTCCACTTAAAACCAATTTTTATAAATTAATTGATTTAACAATTGTCGTATGACATTTTCATGTCATTTGAGCATACTATTACTTTTTAAAAAATAATTTTTGGATATTACAAAGAGATAAAGTAATTTGGAGCACTTGACTTTTTGGTCACCAAACTTTTGAAAAATTAAAATTATCACCAACGTTTTAAATTTATTGATTAATATTTTGATCTTCATTGCCAATATTTCACTATTGAAGTGGCATTACAACGATTTGATCATGAAATTGATTTTTCAAAAAAAAAGCGAAATTAATTTTGATTTTTTTTCAAAACTTGAAATTTGTGAAATCAATAAGAATTTTTTATTTTTAACCAATGGGAAATTGTGAAATCATTTTTTAAAAATATAATTTATTTTTTAAAAATTTCTATTTTACAAAAAATATAATTGATTTTTGAAAAGAAATAGATTTTATCAATTATTTTCTATTTTAGTTTTTTTAAAATCTATTTTATAAAACTTCATATCTTTAACTCTTTGTAATAAAATATTAAGAGTTTTTTAATTTTTTTTATAAAGTTTGAAAAACTTTTTAAGTATTATCTTAATATATTTTAATATAAATAAAAAAATAAAATAATTTATTATATTAAATTTCAAATTTTGATGATAAATCAATATAATGCTGCTTTGAAAATGAGACATCAACAATAAGGATTAAAATTAATTGTCAAAATTGCATCCGTACTCAATTAAATTTTGGAATAAGAAAAAATTTCCTCCGAATATTTGTTGAAGTTATTGGGTTCAGTTAAGGGTCCAAGTAGCTGTTGGCCCAGAAAATGGGTTCAAGTAGCTTGGTTTAAAACATAGAAGCCCAATTCCAACTCAATAAATTTATTTAAATTTAATACATTTTAGTAGAAAAAATAATTGGTCCATTATTAAATTCTAATTGTACATATTTCCTATACAAGTATGAATAAAGAAAATCCAAATTTCCCTTGAAATGGTACTACTGAAAATTGATCATAATAATCTTTTTTTGCTAATGATAACTTTTATTTGCAGTTAGAATTTTACTTATTGCAGCCACCTTACTTACTATATTTATATTTCAAAATTTTTTTGGAAATTGTAAGTGAAAAAGAAGTTACAATTATAATTAAATATTACATTAATGAATAATTAAATTAATTAATTAATCAATAAACTAGAACTTAATTAAATAAATTCAACATAAATTAGATTTTTTTGGGTTTTATTTTTTTAAGGTCATTGGCCAATTGGATGTTAAGAACGAGGAGCAGTTTTGAGTAAAGAGCAACATAAATTAACATAGATAGTCGGGCAGTGAAACAAATGGGAAATGATAATCTAAGGGCATTTGGGGCCTCCTTTCTTAGTCTTCCAGTTGTTGTAGCATGGGCAATATTGTTTGTTCCCATATGTGCCTGGAGGCACACACAAGCACTTGGCACAACACTTTTGACAGAAAAACATGCATGGCTTCTTGTATGCTGTAGCAGAGCATCTGCCTGTGCATCTTGGACCACATTCTGCATGGTTCAACAATGTTAAAAAGTAAATTACTGTTTTTCTATAACTGAATTATACAAAGATTTTAAATTTGAAGTTCACCTTGAGGACGAAGGCTGCCCTGGGTGGCACCATACTGCAATTTACATTTCAAAAAAGAGTTACTTACAAAAGGTTCAACATGAAAAATTAATAACAAAAAAAAAAAAAAGACAAAGAATTCCTCAGTACCATTCCATTTGCATGGTTTCCTTGTCGTTGTTTTTGAGAAGCAGGACTCGAAGCCTAGAAAAATAAATACAACCAAGTAATGAAAAATCAAAATCAAATCTTAGCTTAAAATGAATATATTTGTAAACAAAATTAAATTTTGATCGTTAAAATTAAAAATTTAACATTTTATCGACCCCTTAGATTACATAGACTATATGAATTGAAATACGTTTCTTAATTCTTAATTGCTCAAGTTTCTGTAACACAAAATTTGATGGGTGTTTTTCTTTCTTAATACGCATTAAATTGCTTTCAATGTGGCAATTTGCCTTGCCTTCATTTTATCTTATTATCTAATATTGAAACAATAGTGAAGTAATCCCATATTAGTTTTTATTATTAGAGATCAAGAAAAGCTTTATATATTCACAAACTTGTTTAAAACGTTCAAAACTTTGAAACTAGAATTATGTTCGAATTTTTGTAATAGAAAATATGTTGACAATTTCTCACGTGTTAAAATTTTTTACAAAATTGCCCTTATGGCACGTAATAAGTGAATGAAGTTTACAAAAAAATAAAAGATTTTTAAAAAAGATGAGAATTGCAGCTTACCTGGATTTCTCCTAGTAAAACAAGCATGAGGAGAATGAACAACATCACAATGCTAAGTATTTTAGCCATTTTGAAGTGGAGAAAAGAAGGAAAAAATGCAAAACCCGAAAACAGTAAAAGAGGAAAAGAGAGGCTGGTGATTTGTAAAGTGGAAGGGTGGGGGTATTTATGGCTGCTGCTTGATGGTTGCCAGTTGCCATCTATGCAGTGGGCTGAATTGATTGATAGGCTAATATGGATCAACATTTTCAACTTCCAAAATGAAAAGTGGTGTAGCAGTTTTGTTAGTTTGCTAGTAAATGGAAAAGGTTTCAGCTATGAGCCTAAGATGACTGGAATACCCTTATATCCCTGCAAACGCTGAAATGTATAATGCAGCTTCCTGCCTCTCAAAATGGACCTAAAGCTCTATACTTTCTCATGAAATCATGTCAGAAGGGAGACCAAAAAATGACCAAAAAAAAAGTAAATTATAAGTTAGCTTAAAAGGGTAAAATAGTCAATGGAGTTAAGAAAATAAATGAGAGGTCCCAACTCACAGGGTCTCGTCATCATCCACTGGCTTAACCAATGCATGTGCATTTGCAATAACAATTAGGCCATGATAGCCCCAGCAACATGTGCCCAACCACATGCACATCTCCTCATTTGGACCCACCCACATGCTTCAGCAGACAAAATGTATCAAAAACCAAACAAACTGATCCGGTAGAACTGCACAGCGGACACCAACACATGCATGAACCACAAGATTTCATTTCCATGGAAAGTAAAAACTTATGGCAATTTAATTTTGAAATGGAAAAAATTTTGAGAGAAACATTTTAGAGGTTGCTATTGAACCTAGCATTTTAGCTCATGTTCTCCTGCTCTCTACTTGCTGGCTATGTCTGCACGGCTGTGGGCAATGTCTGCCATCTTCATTTATCTCACTTCTTATGGATCACAAGCTATCTCAAAATAGTTTTTCAGTTATACTCCGTTGTCATTAGTTAAAAATGTAACATCATAAAAGTTTTAGATTTTTCTCTTATTCATCAGCTAAGTAGAATAAAATCCAAGACGGTAACAAATTCCTAGTGGGAGAACATTTCATAAATCTAGTGCCTTATCAAAGCAACCCCCCATGTTCAGTTACATGAAACCTGAAGAGAAAAGGCAAGAGACAGACAGAAGAAGAACATGTGAACAGAAATCTTCATTATTTCAACCCAGAATGAATTGCAACAACTCCTCCAAGTATATTTTCATACTCAACCTTCTTAAACCCTGCTTCTGCAATCATTGAAGCAAATGTTTCCTGCATTCACCGGTGACAATTAGAAAAGAGGTTGAGATCATATAAGTAAATTGAATATCATTGTCCTATGTTGTCATTTCAATCAGTGAAAAATGTTGCTAGACATGAAACACGGGATTTGACATCATAGTTTCTTGGTTGATAGAACTAGTTGGCATGGTGGTTAGAAACTTGTGTTTAGAGAACTGTAACTTGTTAAGAGTTTTAAATTATGTCTGCACCAGAATCACAACAGTACATACTGGTTTGGTTGCAACTCAAAACTTAATTTAGATCCAAACTAATTCAAGCACAAGCTTAGATACAAAAACAGTTAGTCCACTGCTTCGGAGTTTGGGTTGCATTTATGTTATGTTTGCAATATATAGAACCACCACCCAATAACTCCTAAAACTTAACAGTAGTCCATTTAAAAGCCTGTGACAATTACTCAAGCTAAATCATTTTGTAATTACACTATACCAAAGACACGATCAATCCAACCCTAATCCCCTGTCTTGCAACCTAGAGTATTGACTCAAAAAAACCCAGAGATATTATTTCCTATGGCCTCTCCATTATAAACTATCTTCAATTGTTATAAGTGTGCATCTTAGACTTAGAGCAGGCGGGCAAAAGCATGTAGAAATAGACATAGAAAGGAACTCATTTTTTGTCTGTTTTCTATAAGAATATTATCATATGAGGCAGTTTAGTCAAAACTTTTGCCCATCAGACACTTGTCCCACCACCTTATGTTAAATGGTCCAAAGCATGCATTAGTAAAAATGCTATTTCATTGTTCATCATGGTGCATCCTTATCTAAAGTTCCTTACAATTCCTTAATTTAGCAAAATACATTGTTGTCCATAGTTCACTTACAAGCATTATTATAACAAAAGGTAAAATAATCTGCTTTTTTTTCTCCGCTTTTCACTTGCTATGCATGAGTAGTTTAAATACATGGCTGGTAAGTATCATCTAAAATGTGAAGGACTCATTTAATTTATAGAGGACAAAAAATGCAGAGATATAAATAGTTGTACTAGAAAAAACATAAATGAAAAGGTCCACGGGAGACATGATGTTCCCCTCTAATTGAGTAGGACTGGGATCTACATGCTACTAGTTCCGTTCTGTCCCACTTGCTCTCCCACTCCCCACTGCCCAGCTCTATTTTTTGTTCTTTGGGATTTTAACCCAAGACTTTATTGAAACAAAACCTTTGGTTTTGCCTCAAGTGGTTTCTTTAAGCATACACTCTTTAATGAAGTCTTAGTCTTGGTGGTTACAGATGCAACCAACATTATGTACTAGAATAAATTTCATTAACTTCTTATCATGTGTTGATAGTACACGAGTATGCCAAGTGAAGTTTTCAGTAGTTAAGTCTAACAATCCTCTATAAGAAAATGTTCTGGCTAAAAAATGCATAATTGCGATAAGAATAAGGTATTACCTCATCAGATCGACATAATTTCTTACTAATCATAATGCTTCAACTAGGTAAAAAGATGAGAGATAGTTAAATAGTCTATAGGGAACTGAGGCGTAACCTGAGGCGGGAAACAGCGGATACTCTGTATTAAATACTGGTATGAATCTCGATCACCTGTAATAAGCTTTCCTACAACTGGAATAACAGTGAATGAATATAAATCATACCTGCACCAAAATTTTAGCAACCGTTAAAGCAACATGAAGATAAACTACAGGTCTATGGCCTAGAATAGGAAAAATCTCTCTCGAGAGGGAGGACAAAAAGAAGAAAAGGAAACAGAGAGAAAGCTGCCCCTGAAAGAATATGGAATTTTCTACCCAAAACCAGTAGTCCAGTAGTATAAAATTGAGTGGCAGTGAAGATATCACATTACATTATCTTTAACTTGCTTGAGTCCCATCTTCTGAAGAACAAAGCATTTGTGAAGAAAAAGTAATTCCGAGCCATAAAGACTTCTAGCAAGTAGCTTAATTTTCAGTTATAGTCCAGACAATGATTCTGGTTTATCTTTTGTAAACTTAAAAATCAATTTGTCTTCAAGATTGCCACATTGAATGTTGGCATGGTTTGTCATAGTAGCCATGCTTCTCACCCCAAGAAAAATGTCTATTATCAGATATAATCTATATCCTGGCTAAAATTGTTAAAGATACTCACAATTCTTTAAGTACAGGAATTTCCATTCTGGTTAGTTCAAGGCATAGGAATCTTCCCCCTGGTTTTAGCACCCTAATAAATAAAACCAAAGAAGCAAGCATGTATACAGATTCACTTATATAATGGCAACAAATTTCATGAAAAAAAGGATCAAAGGAAAGAAGAAAACAACAAAAATAATATCAACCAAATGTACCAAACCAGATTGATAATTTTTTTTACACTAGACTAATAAAATGAAGTATCTAAGCAGACAGCTGCCTCATAACCTAGATGATGCCATTTTAATTTATTATTATTTTTTCCCACTATAAACATGCTAAACTTGTAGGTGTTTATTACTAAATTTCAGGCCAAATTAATCAGATCAATGAAGAAAGCAATGCAAACCGTCCAGATATGGGTACTCTCAGTCTGTTACTTGCAAATCTACCCGGCTTTTCCATCAACCATACAAAATATTCATAAATTCATGAACACAACTGCATATACAAGGACTGAGAAGGCACTGCCCTTTGGCCCCGGCATTTACAGTTGGAAACTTTTGGATCCTGATCCCAGTCTTGCCACTAAATTTTTGCTTTACCCATGCAGCTCAAAAGCTTGCCTAAGGTAATTTTCTAAGGTTAAATGTAATGAAGATGTGATTTTTTTTGTTTATGAAATGCTAAAAAAAACACACACACACACACACACACACGATACTTGGTCTAAAACTCTTAAGACTTCAAGAGATAAATGAGCAACACTAATCTCTCCCCCTTAACCTAGTTACCATAAGGTCTCCTTGATCAGATACATGAAAGTCTCATATTAGTAATGAAAGTTGTATTATTAGGGAAAAACCTAATCATTTTTAAGCCACTTCACCTGTTTTATTAACTGACTAATTTTTTTATGTCAAAATTATGCACTGGAATATATACCCCCTAATAGAAGCATTTAAGAGGTTTAAGAAATCAACCATTGGCTAAGACATTACAAGCATACCTATAAGCTTCAGCCAGAGCTTTCTCCATATGAGTCACATTTCTAATTCCAAAAGCAATAGTATAACTATCCATCGAATTATCTCCAAAATGCAAGGCTTCTGCATCTTCCTCCAGCCATAATAGAGATTTGTCGTCTTCAAGACCTGACAAGTTTAATACAAAGCAATGGGCCAATTTAAAGAATTTTAATCCACAATTTAATCATCCAGACAGGTCCTATTAGTTCAATCTAAAGATAATTATGGTAATTACCTCTCTCTGTGGCCCTCTTTTTACCAACATTTAACATGTTTGGGTTGATATCACAGACATAAATCTGAGCTTGTTCCTGTAAATCATCATGGTGATGATGCATTGGCTTACTCTTGTTTCTGTTTATTGCATCTAAGATCCTGAAAGCAACATCCCCTGCAAGCTAAGGACTGTCAACTTAAGATGACAACGGCTTGTTAACTTTAAACAACAAAACAAGAATGAAACAGGAATGCTACTGAAGACATTAAATTTATTTTTATTCAAAAAATAATGGGAGAAATTGTTCTGATGAAGCTAAGTTGTACACTGGTATTAAAGGTTCCCAATAGTAAATTCTTAAAATAATAGTAGCTAAGTTTAAACTTGTTAATGAATCAGAATATAACTTCCACCCAATGTATCACTATCCATGTCAACACAAAAACATTAGAATTTGCATATAGCATAAAAAAAATTGAATTCATCAAAGTCAAATAAGCATTACCTTGTTGCCAGAAACAAATATATTAACAATTTATTTTTGCATGCAAGCAGAACTCTCTTTATATGCATAATTTCGCATAGAGCATAGTAATCTTTTTGTGTGTTACGAACAAGCAAACAAGTACCATAACAAAAGCAAAAAGGGTCTAATCAACAAATTAGGAATAGCCCCCCTAAAATTTATATATTTAGCATTGGCTGAATAAATAATTTCCCATCTAGAAATAAGTAGTCATCTAAATATTCCCCAATGTTTACATGTATTCTTTTACAAGGTTTTCGAGTCTATGTATATTTAAGAAATGTTAACAGGATTACTGCATAAACTAGGCTAACCTGTTCCACCGGCCATGTCAATATGTTTCATTCCTGGAAATGGGTTCAGTTTGGATACCAATCTGATAAATTGACATGAAAATTTAAAGGTAAGGTAAATAACAAGTATTAGCTAATTATTAGAAAGTATCAGCAAGAGTCTAACCTGTCTTTCCATAACCTGTGTAATCCAGCACTCATGATATCGTTCATAAGATCATACTTCAAAGCAACACTATCAAAGACATGACCAACCATCTCACTTTTCCGTTCTTCATGTACCTCTTTAAATCCTGAAAATGAAATTCCTTTTAAGCTGTCGTTCGATTATAAATAAATATATATAAGCAATAGCAAAACAAAGTAGACAGAGGTGCTTTGGTTTTCCCAGATCTGTTAATAAAAATTTAAGTGCCATTTTTTAAGTGCAAAAGGCAGAGATAAATTTATTTACTTCCAATCCTGTCTATAGAAAAGGAATAGACCAAACATGTCTCAATTTCTTTCTTACCTTTTTCTTTTCCTTTTTTTCTTGGATAAGAAACATGTATCAATTTCACCCAGAGCTCACAGTTGAGAACTGTTTCCTTTACCATGTGACTTGTTATCATGATTAAGAGATGACTTCAATGTTTATATTAATATATGATTATTACACAATGCCATTCCTCCTTTGATAGTTGTGGATGTGCAGGTTAGCATGTGCCTGTTTTCTGAGATTTCTACTTCTTTCATTATTCTTTTTCTTTGGTACATATCCTTTCTCTTTTTCCAAAAGAGTAAAGGGGATTAGAACCTTGAAGTTTAACCCTCTAACGTGCAGCATCACTTAGCATATGCAATTTTTGATGCAATAGGATTATTCAGATTTGTGTAGAAACAAACTACTATTAACTAATAAATTTATAATCCTCTCTTCTTGTTTTTTTTTATGTTTTTTCTTTTGGGGTTTTTCTTTCCAGCATATACAATCATTTGCAACAATTTTTTTTTTTTTAAAAAGTACCCATACAATCATAACTATACCGACAAACTGACAACTAACAAACATGCAAGTGAGCAAGAAAGAGTAAGAGAGAGTACCAAAACTTGTGGCATGTGAATGCAAAAGAGAAGTGGAAGAGGGCGTTGAAACTAAGTTTCTCCTCAACTTCCCGGTCAACAATCTCATTGCCAATGCTGCTAAAATGACGATTTTAGTTACCAAATAAAAGAATCATTTGATTTACATAAATTAAAACTGCTCTAATTACCTTTGTCAAAAGAAGAGATAAACACAACAAAATCTTAATATCATCAAATAAAAAAAGAAGCACTAAATAATAAGTCTAAGAAGACAAACTATAAAAATGGAAAAGAAAAACAGAATTGGATTACGAGGACCAAGCAAAATAATCTGCTATTATCGGTTTTTTAACTCCACAAGTGAAGTTAAGATGGTGACATATATCTCACTTCTTTTTTAAATTGATTTTTTTTTTAAATATACACTAAAGGTCATATGTCACAATTTTAACTTGCTTGTAAAATTAAAAAACTCTACTGTCAATGTATTATATAATTTATCAAAAAGATTAGAACTATCCCAATTTGCATAACTATTGACAGCTTTACTAAAGGAGTTTTTTCCTATGCCAAGGGAAAATAAAATCTTTATTCCCTAACAAGTGTACTTTTAATCTTATTTACCTAAATGGAATGCTACATGCCACATCATCATTCTTGTTCTTTTCCCATCCCCACCACTAACAAAATTCCAAAAATAGTGTCCCACTCCATCCAAAGTGTTTGATTTCCATCTTTATTAAAGTATTATCTGTGCAATCAAACCAAACCAAACCAAGCTTCATCAAGAGAAATCTGGAGGAAGGATCTGAAGCAACAGGAAACTGGATTTATTCATCGTTGCCCAGCTTCTGTCACGTGCTTCTGGTCGTACAGAAGACACTAATACTGATGCAAAATCGAATAAGTTTATGGTGAAAAGCAACCAAATAGTTCTGTGATTAAAGATGAGACAAAGAGTAATGAAATTAACAATTGTAACGAAGGAAAACAGCGCAATAGAAGGGGGAGTCGTGCAACAAAGAAAAAACTGCTAGCAGAAGTTCATCTCGAGTGTAAATTGGTTGATTTTGGCAATGCTTGCTGGACGTACAAACAATTTACAAATGATATTCAGACCAGGCGCAGTATAAATGTCCTGAGGTTATCTTTGGATCCAAATACGTAACATTGGCAGATTTATGGTCTTTTGCTTGTATTTTTTTTTTGAGCTCACCATTGATGATGTTCTTTTTATGCTCACAGTGGTGAAAACTATGACCGAGATGAGGTATGCAGAAACCATTCTGTCCATCTCACATTTTTATTTTCCTTCATATGATACTTCATAGTAAAAAAAAAAAAAAGAGAGACAAAGAGGGATGCAGAAACCATTCTTAAAAAAAGGGAGTCGTGCAATAAGGAATGTAAGTCATGGTGACAATGATAAAGGTGGGACACCCTAGTTTAAAGATGAGACAAACAGTGATGGAATTAACCGTGACAACCAAGGATAACAGGGCAATGGAAGGGGGAGCCATGCAACAAGGAAAAAACTGTTGTTTATAGATGAAAATATGATGATGTGGCATGAATTACCCTATTTGGGTAAATAAAATTAAAAGTACCCCTATTAAACAATACAGATTTTATTTTACCTCAGTGCTAGAAAAAACTCTTTACTAAAGATCTATTGTAAAGAATAAGAATGATCTAATTCATTTTTTTTTTTAAAGATTAATGATTTAATTCATTATAAGCTGTATATTCATATACCCAATTGAAAAAAATTTATTAAACTATTTTCAATACCTGCAGCAACAACAAATAAGAGCAACTCCAATAGCATTCTGAAATCTAGAAGAACCTCCAAGACCTGCATGTTGACAACAATAAATATCAATCAGTAGAAGAACAGAAACAATTGGAAGTTTAAAACAATGAGATGAATCAAAACGGGTTCCCACAACTTGAGAAAAAGAGTCAAGGTTAAAACCAGACGCAAGACAGAATTGATCGTATAGATGCTTACGGCCCGGGCGGCAAAAGAATGCTAATAAAAATAATAAAATATAAAACCCTACTCAATTGACATCTCCACGTTAAGGACGCAAAGATTAAAATAATAGAAGCATCTGCACCTTATTAAATAATCAAAACTTCGAGAGAGATGTTAATGGCGGAAATGGAGATTTAGTAGTGTTTTTCTGTTATTTCTCAATTTTAGACTTCAATTTTCCAAAATGATCCAAATAAAAAACAACCCCGAATTCAACAATCCCAAATAATCCAAACTCCAAATAGAACTGAATTCAAAATAAACCCAAAGCAGTCGGGTCTAACATCACTTTTAGTTAACATGGAAGTGTGTAACAACTATGGCAACAAATGAACTTTTATGCTGCAAAAAGAATTTTACAAATTGTTGTACGGTGCTTTAAATGATAAAGAAATACCCCATCTAAAAGGCATTTTGCAACACTTTTATATACATTCTTGCGCAACATATAATTTCTAGTAACCAATCACAACATAACACTCTTGATGCTGTAAAAAATATATATTTTGCAACGATTAAAAAATATATAAATATTTTTTGTCTCCTTTTTATTCTTTAAGTTGTTGGTGATTGATGTATTAATCAATAGTTATGGATCAAATTTGACTGCAAGATATCAAATGCCGACATATCTCAATCACAATGTTATTTTTTTAATACTTTTTTTTTATATTGGTATTTTTCTAAAATTTAACAAGAATAGAGCATTCCATAAAATATTTCGTCTGTATCAAATTAAAAATATAATATATATATATATATAAATAATGTAGCTAGAAAGAAAAATGCAAAATATTTCATATAATATTATGTCTGTATCAAATTAAAAAAAAAAAAATTGATATAGTAAAAAAGAAAAATAACATGAAGATATCATATTCGATGTCCGGCGGCAAAATTTGGTTTTAGAGTATCACTGGTCATCGATCATTGATAAATTGAATAATAAAAGAAAGACCAAAAAAATGCAATATCCATTAAAATCTCTCACAATACCTCCTATAACAAACTCACCTGAATTAGTTATAAAAGATTTTTTCCAAGCAATAAAAGAAATCTGTTTAACGATTTCTTAGTTAGAACCCATTTAATATCAATTCTTTTTTAATTTAAAATTTTAATTTTTTTGTTAAACCTGCTTTATGCAAAAGATTTGTTTTTTTTTTTTCGGTTGTTAACTTTTGCTCTTTTTCTATTTTTATATACTTAATAAATAATTTTTTAGATTTTATTTTTTGATACTCACTTGATATTAAGAATATGTCACGTATCAAGACATCTGATCCATTATTTATTTTGCCTTTAATTTTTTTTATATACAATTTTTCTTTTTTATTTAATAATATTTTTAAAATTTTTAATACTTGGCCCAAATATTGTTATTAAAGATATATTTTTCGTTAACTTTTTTTTTTAATTTGATAAATTTTAAATAAATAAATATTATCAAAATAATTTCTGAATTTGATTTTTTAGATTTTTTTAAAGTATTTTTAATGAAAATTCAATAATATAATTTTTTCAAAAAAAACTTATTATTACAAATATTGCATGCCAACTCCTTTTTTTAATTTTTGAATTTTCTTTTTCCTTTTTTAAAAATGTTTTCCTGCTTTTCTTTTTTTCATATTTAATGAATATTTTTAATATTTTATTTCTTTATGTGTAGAGCCAATTTTATATTATTGATTAAAATTTTTTTTATATATTTTTATAATTAGATCATTTTGAAAAAAATATTAACGAACGTGTCAACATGACATTGAGATTTGAATTTTTTTTTTTTTTTACTTTTAAGGTATAACAAAAGGATATTAAAAAATTTATTTTAATCAATAACATCAAATTCACCCTACACAAAAAATATAAACAACAAAATTTTATTGAATGTAAAGAGGAAAAATAGAATAAAAAAATTAAAATAAAAACAAATAATATAAATCCATGTTATAAAATTTTCAAGGAAAGCTCATCATTGCTAATGTGAGCATGAATTAAACTTTCTACCTTTTTTTTTTTTTGCTTTTTCGTCTTTTTTTTACTTTTTTTTCTTTTCAATTAGATAAATTAAAAAATGTATATATACACATAGCAACCACTTTCACTTATTTTACCTTATTTATTTATTATTTTTTAATCAAATTATTTATAACAAATGTAATCGACAAATAAATTTTTAAGAAAAATATTAATAGAGGTATGGATAATAAAATAACCTGTATCAATTAAGTTTTAATTCGTCCACATATAATATATAAATGCATTTTTTTATTTTAAGTCAAATCGAATTTTTTTATCCTAAAATCAAAATCAATGGGAAAGCAAGTTTATTAATTTTTGTCTTGTCTTGATTATATTAAATTATGTTTTAAATTATTTATTTAATTTAATTTTTATATATTATACTAATAAAAGTAAGTATTTAATATATTAATTTAATAAAAATATTATATTTTATACATAAATTAAGATGTAACCGATCTATCTATACATTATATAAAATTGATTTATTTTAACTTTTGTTTAATTCTCATTCAAAGTCTCAACGTGAGATTTTATGTTTTTTTTTTTTGTTTTTAATAATGTTAAATTTATTTTATGAATAAAAAACAATATAGGTGTTCACGTGATAATTCAATTTATTTTTTATTTTTTAATTTTCTTAATTAAATAAATTTTACAATGGAAGAACCTAATAGATAAGAATGATAAAATAAATTGTATCCAATAAACCTTCACTCAATTGAGATTTTTATGTAATACGTGGTTAGCTTAATTTTTTTTTTTTAATTAAAATAATTTTGTAAAAAACAATAATGGATATATCCATATGGCATCCAAATTTTTTTTTTGCTTTTTTTATATTTTTTAATTAGATAAAATTTGTAATAAAAGATATTAATTAATAAAAACGGTAAAACAATTTGTATTTGATGTGTTTTTATTTATCTAAATTTGATAATCGGTGATTTTTTTGAATTGATATTGAATTAAGACAAATCAAGTTTAAAAAAAAAAAAACGAAATAGGATCGAAAATATGTTTAAGATATTTTGTTTGAATCATTTTGAAATATATAAAAATATATATATATTATTTATTTAATTTTATAAATATAGATAATATTAATAATGTCATTATTTTAATTTAATTTAAAAAATTAATATTTTAAATTCAGTATGAGACATCAATATAACATCTTATACGAGCTCTTTTTTAAAATTTTTTTTGGTTCTTTTATTTATCTCTTTTTTAATTTTTTTGTACTTATTTTTATTAGATTAATTTTTTAAAAATGAAATTCTTTCTTTTATATTCGTTAGTTTATTTTTTATTTTTTATTAAATAAATTTCATAAAAAACGCACGACCTGCCCACCTTTCTGGTGAAATTAAAAGTAGCACTTTAACGATGGACCACAACCGGCAAGTAGCAAAAATTGTTTTTTCCTGCAATTGAGAGCCAGCAACCCTAATATTTTGGGCTCAAGCGGCCTGTTTAGGGTTCATGTCCACGATCTTACAAAACAAAAAACCTGCAAAATCCCTCTCCCTCGCTGTCTACTTCCCTCTTTCCCTGCTCTGACTGCTCTCAAAGTAATTTCTTCTTCGAAACTACTAAAAATAAAAGAAAAGAGAAAACAAAATGAGCAGCTGGGGAAGTCTTCTTCTTCGAATCGGTGACAAATGCTCAGAGTACAGTTCCTCTTCCGATTTCAAAGACCACATTGTCCGTACACTACTCTCCAGTTTATTTCCCCATAAATAAACCCTAGTTCATAGTTTTTTTTTTTAATTTCTTTTTCTGTGGTTTTTTTTTTTTGAAATTACAGGAAACTTGCTATGGAGCTTTACGGAGAGAGCTGGAGCATTCTTCTACTGATATTTTACCTGTAATCTCCATTTCTTTTTCTTCTAGTTTTCCTTTACAGTGTATTTTTGTTTAGCACCCATTTTAGTTCTGGCATGGTTGAAAATCTGAAGAAATTTTAAGTACTTACTGGAAAATTAGTAAGTAATTGTATTAGGCTCTTGGTGGAGCTTTTAGATTTGCATTGGGAATTAAATTTTTTTTTCCAGCATTGGGTTTCATAAAAGTGTGTAAACATCTTAACTGTTCATTTACAAAAATGTCTCCTTTTTCTTTGATGGATAACTATAAGACTTTCCAAGAAGAACACATGAAGAGAGCACCTTATAAATACACAAAAAAAGGATCATACATCAAGAATATTTGGATAGAATGTAATAAAAAAGAACATTGAGGAAAAAGCTGCCATGCATACTCAGTTAATTTATTATACCCTTTCAAATAACCCCATTTAGAGCTCTAAGATTGCTTTTAATAAAAAAATCCTACTTTAATAATAGAGGAAACCTGCGAATTGATGGGTTGGAGGATTTTTTTTTTTTTTTCAGATAACTAGATAGTTCCCTGCTTGAGGTTTATACAGATTATTGATGCTTATTTTGATTTCTGTCCACATGAATTTTTAGAAACCCTTCAAGAGGAAAAGAGGTTTTTTTCTTTATAATTGTGTTTGAGTTCAAGCCAAAAGGTGAAGATTTGTTAAGTTTTGTTTGTATGGAGTCAATTTGTTTGCTCATTATCATATGGTCATTGGTAGTTTATTCCCCACCCCTCTCCTCCTACTCGTTGTGCAATGATTCTGCTGCTGATAATTGCCAAAGCATTTATCTTTTTTCTCTTTATCTTGCCAGTTCATTCTCCTATGTGCCGAACAATTGCCTCACAAGATTCCTCTGTATGGAACAGTGGTATGGCTCTTCTAAGACTTTTTAAGTCTAATTTTCTATTGGTCCTTTGATGCTTTTCCATTCATTTGATAGTGTCAGCTATTAAACAAAAGTAATTCATTTATATTGACACACCACTCATAGTGTGATTGTTACAATAAATTTTTTTCAATGAACTCTTTTTCAGCAGAGATAATTTGTAAACGTTTGGTGAATTTGTGAGTGTCTAAAGGTAGGCTGAATCTATTTTTGACTAGGGATGAGGAAAAAATTTGAAAAAACCAAAAACCAATTTGAAACCGTAGTGTTAGGTTCGGATCTTTTTTTTCTTATTTGGTTTGGATTAAGTTCGAGTATTAAATATATATATTAGGTTTGGGTTGGATTGTGAATCAAGAAGTAAAAAACCGAACCAAACTGAATTATATATTTTTATTAATTTATATATTTTAAATTTTTATAAATAAAAATAATTATTTATTTTTAAATCTATTTAGATCTAAATAGTACCTAAA